TGACGATTCTCTATTGAGAACCATCCCAAAAAGCTTTTTCGTTTGAATCGGTGGTTGGAAATGAATCGGGTGTTGACAAATCTGCCTACTATGGTCCTTGTATTCCTTCACTCACTGGGCAGCAGATTCAGATTCAACAACCGTTGCTGCAGCAGGTTCAGCAACCGTTAACCGTTGAGTATCGGATCGGCTGTTAGGTTTATGTCGGGTACGGTTATTATACATTAGTTTAAACAAATATTAACAAATATTAACACTAGACTAGTTGGGTAAATTACGCAAAATAGTAAGTGAGTCTCGGGAATGCCCGCTGCCACGCGCAAAAATCATTGTCTTTTTCCGGCGCCAGGCTGGCAATCAACTTCTGCCAGGCGTAGAACAGAAAACTGCCAAGGGGCTATTTGTTGGGAGTGGTACAAAAATTTGCATACATTATGTTAAAAGGCTTTCACCATGATGGCAGCCAGCCATGGATGGCACGCCAGAAGCTGGCAGCCACCCCCGGCGTGGCACACCACCCGCGCCTTGCACTACGAATGTCAACTGTTTGCGTAGTTGAACCCCTTTCAGTTTTCCATCGTCGTGAGCCTGCCACTTACCGAGCCCAGCACCACAGCGTCTTGCACTGCGAGTGAAAAGTATCCAGTGAAACTGGGTTCGCGAGAATGCGTCTCACACTGACGCCTTAGTCCACAAGGAATGTTGGCGACGCAAAATGACACCACAAACACAAGGGGACTGTTGGGAGGGCTTGCACAATAACCAACATCATAGTTTGTTGTGTCTGGTTGGTATTTAACTTCAAACGCCCAACTGCGTTCTTTTGGTTTCAGCTAACATGTCAAAAAAACATTGGAACTCGAACTGATGAACGTGAACTGCACGGGACCATACAACATGAACAGGCAAGCGCATTGATCCCTTGCGCACCTGGTACCTTTCAAGGAAAACACAGCCATCAACAACCCAGATATATTTTGACGCGATAGGCGAACGAACTGTCAGCGCATAGTGACTATAGGTTTCCCAGCTACTACTCAGAACAGTACTGCCATTCAAGCAGTCACAGTTTTTTTTCTTCGCCATCATCTCTTTCTCCTCTTTCTGCCGGGCTCTTTTACGCTTCCTCTCTCGAGCATTCTTCGCTTTCTTCATTCGAGCCAGTTTCGCGAGGGCTTCTGTGGCAACCTTCAAATCAGGTTGCGTGTCAGGCTCTGTCGAGACCTCATCGATGTTTTCCAACTTCAATGGGATGACCAATGGGTCAGACTCCCTCTCTTTGTCGAGCTGAGTCTTCAGAGCGTCCAGCTCTGCGAGGATGTTCTTTCGTCCTGGAGTGGCGTTGTCCCGAGGCCATGGTTTCAAGACAAAAGCAGCGGCGCATCTGAAAGGCTGCATTGCTGGATCCGACATTGAGACAGGCGGAAGGGAAGGTCCTCTGAAACCATCATTAGAACGGCCACCTTGTTAACATAATGGCTGCAGAGATGGGAAATGAAATTCAGCTGGCACGCCAGGTGTGCTGGCAGCCAACCACGCGAACGCGCAAAACTCGAGCTTGGAATCAAAAATTTGGAAACCAAAAGCACTAGACTAGTAGTTGGAAAATACAACACAATGAACTATCGAAAGCTTTCGATGAATCACCAAAATTGCACAGCGCTGGTTTTCTCCCCATGATTTCGCCTTGAAATCATTCCCGCAAGATCGATGATCTTGCCGTGAAAGAAGCCAGCCAATCTATGGCGGCTGTGAACTCCTCGAAGCAGGTGGAGGTAATCCGCAATGCTTGCACGCGCAAAAGAACATATCCTCTCGCAACTCATGGAGCTTTTCATCGGGGCCGAGGACGATCACAGGATGACCAACTTTCAGGGCAAGACTTGCTTGGTAGTGCACAGTGTCACCAGCCCGCCAAACCACTGGCCAATCCGGCAGCACATCGAGATCCAAAGAAGCCCAAATCGAAGACCGCTTCTTATTCATCAACCTCTTGTGCTTTGAAAGCCAGGAAAGACGACGCCGAAGTACCATGATTGATGGTGAGCGGCGAAGTCAAGTGCACACGTCTTTTCTGAGCCAACCATTGCGTAGCATCGCGTAAATTAGCAGATCAGAACCCACGCCAAAACCCTTATGCGACAAGGCCGGACTGCGCTGAGGTGGAGACGCATCTCAACGCTCGGCATAGTATTCGGTCTGGCCTCAATCACACTGCAAACGACAGTCAGGCGACATGATGGCTGATTACGTTTCCTCTTGACACACTGATAACAATAAATGTATCAGCTCCTGCTCGCCTCAAACCAAGAGTGTAAGTGTTTAGAGGCTATACTGAAAGTTCTTTGCAAACATTGGTCACAATGAGGGCGAGACCCGGCTTGTAGGGTCAACCCCCTGTCCAAATTTGGCATCGCAACTACAGCTCAAAAATGTAGAAACAACTTCATCACATCCTGCTCATCAGTTCACCGTTACGCTACATTTTTTCTCGCGCTCGAACACAGCGTGTTTTGGAAGATGGTTCTTCCATCGAAAAAGCTGCGCAGCTAGCTCTACTCGATGTCTTCAACCACCGTGTCTTCTTCCGGCAGTTCTTCCTCGTCACCCTCCGGGTCATTTGCATCATCAACGCCGCCCTGATCCACAGCTTGTGAATCAGCTTCTTCTGCGAGTTCTTTGTTGCCGGGGTTCTCCGCCGTCATCTTGTTCAAGAGAGCGATTTTCATCTCTGTCTTAGCAGGGTTAAACAGCATGAACAAGAAACATCACAAGTTTCAAGAAGGAATCCAAAAGGTTTGCAAAGTTTGATGGTTTAAGCTAGCCACACACATGATCTTGACATCTTGCACAGTCTGACCTGCTCGGAGCTGGTTGGCACCCTGTTCCTCAACACGCACACAATCCGCCAACTGCATCGTTTGACGCTTGAAGAGCTATTTAGCCAAAGGCCCCGACAGCAATCTCCAGAATTTTTTCCCTTGGATAGAGCGCGCCACCTACCTTGAAGGCAATGACATCTTCACCCCAAAATCTTTCACTCCACCAAAAATCAATATGTGACTTGAAGGTAAATGACTATGAGTTGCGGTGATCACTTCCGATCCGTTCAATTTGACGCCATACACGTTGGTCTTTGCGTAGTAGTACGGGTTGGTGACCTTCCGTGCACCTGAAATTGCGAGCAGCTGAACATAGGATGGGCGATATGTTTTTTTGTAAACAAGCAAGTTTTGTCCGTGGCCTGAAGCCGAAGCGGCTGAAGATTTAGGGGCTGCAGCAGGTTTCTTTTTTGTTCCCTTTGAAGGCGCAAGCTTAGTAGGTTCAACAGGCCCCTCTTTTTTTGGTGCATCCTTTCCACCCTTGGCGACCTTTTTGGGTTCTGGTTCAACTGGTGTTTCCTCTGGGGTTGCTTCAACATCAGCGGCTGGTCGCTTTGAGGGGGCTGCTTCTGCGCTTGGGGATGGCTTCTTCTTTGGGAGCTGCTTTGCTTTAGCCTTTGCTTTTGGTTTTGGTTTTGCTGCAGGTGTGCCCGACGCCGCTTGCTCCTGCAACTGTTACAGAAATACGAGAGGCAGGCTCACACAGATTGAGAAAGAAGTGAAAGAAAGCGTTTCAACTGCAAAGTCTATTGACTTGGTCCTCCGCTTCACCAGAGGATTGGCTGAGCTCGGAAATCGTTGCCATCACGGGCATCACTCTCAAAAACACCGAATCGCCAAAACAGGCTCTGAAGGTTGAATCTCTGGGCCAATCTTTCACCGGCGCATTCGGCTATCTATAACACAAACCAGAACAAACAACACTCATTGAGGCCCGCCACATAGCTCTATTGCGTGTGTGTGTGTGTGTGTGTGCGTGCGTACTCTATAAAGTGAACACAATACATTCGAGCACAACACCACCCAGCTACTTTGAACTGCCGGCTGATCGTTGATGGTGAAACTGCGTTTCACTCTCATCCCAAAATCGGGCTGCGCTGCAAGGGTTGCGCTTTGAACTGCAAAGATATAGGTCCCGGGTGCATCTAGACTTCAAATTCAAGACAGAAGCGCAGCCCGCGATGAAATCAAGGACACACATCCTAGACTCCAGCAGACGCCAGGTGCACACAAGTACCTGGCTCGATGGTCACAGAAGCCAAAAGCCAGACTTTAGGCTTCACAGGCAGAAGTTTCGCTGGAGACGAGGAGGCTTCGACCTTGGCATCGTTCAATCGACAACTGAAAACTTGAGTTGGTGGGTGTCAATCCAATGCTTCATTCTAGCACTGACTTAGCCCAAGGCTTCCCAAACCAACGACACCACATCATTGAAGGGAACCTTGTGGAAATTTCCCTGGTAGATACCACCAAACGACGGTTTTTTCGTCAAGGTATCGCTTGAAGGCTCTGCTGGATTGGGGTGGAAGACACAGGTTCTCTCCGAACTCAATGGTGCGACATCCCACCTGCACAGCGAACCCAAAAACAACTTAAATCGTAAACCGTCGCTGTTTCATTGGGCCCGCCTGAAACTGACGGGGAGCGGATCTGGGTTAGCCTTGGGAATGAATTTTTGAAACATGGCCTAGTCGTGGGATTTTGCCTTAACTTAGTTGGTTTGAATCGAGTCCCGGGCGTCGTCCACCGGGTGCGTTTTCGGCACCATTGAGTGAAATTCGAGCTCAACGTCGGCAAGACCTTGCTCTGTGGCAAGCTTCCGGAGCAGCATGCAAAGCGGTGCGCTCTTCTTCTCGTGGATCACTTGCACGCGGTCATTCGACAATCTCCACACCAGACCATTGGACTGGAGCGCTTCGCCTAGGAACAGTGCACAGCAGGAGCTGTACATCATGGACTTTGATGCGCAACAATGAAACACAATAAAATATTAGAGCAAAAATCAGCAGACGTGAGAAACAACTGACGCTTACCAGTTGCTGCACACAGCATTCTTGTAGGATCCAGTGCCGAATCCGAAAAGTTCGGTAGAAGGCACAGTGATTTTGCTATCGCCACAATTCAGCAGCCAGATGTGAAAGTTCTCGTCAACGACCACCGTTGGCTTACCAGCTTTGCCAACCAATGTCCCACGCCTGCGTCAAAATATCAGAAATAGATTAAGAATCTGGAGCTGAACAACGCGCTTATTGCCAACTAAAATCCTGACAAAAAAGGCAATTCAAATCTCAAATGAGCGACCTTGAAGCTGGCTCTCCAAGCTGGTCTATGGTCTTGACCGAAAGACTGACCGTCCGCGAAGTGTCCACAGGCGAGAGCCCGTCGTCAATGGAAAAGTCGCACTGCCCGCTCACCCGGCATGGACCACTGTCAACCGTGGGCGGGCCCGCACCAGCAGCAGGAGCCCCATACTTATCCTCGAAGATCTTTTTCAATTTCAGCACCTCTTTCTTGTACTCACTGCTGTCGGCAAACCTGTCCGTGAGCACCTGTTCCGGAAAGACAGGCTTACCAGACTGCATGGCTAGAATCTCCAAAGTGAAGTCCTTCTCCTCAGAAGCCGGCTGTGGTCGTTGCTTTGGCGGTGCGTCTCTGCTGGCATCCCAGTGATCATAGATTTGGGACTCCAGGGCCAAGCGCAAGTCTTTCTCATTCTCTTCCCTCACAAAAGCCATGTACTTCAGATTCTCGCCGGCCAAGATCTTTTGGAGACATGCCCGGCCCATTTCACACTGCCTGCAAAATGATGAACTGGTAAACAGGACGTCTTTGCTGTCACCTATTTTTGACAAACATCAATAGCTATTATAAGAGGTTATATATTAATATACAAACCCTGCCTGTTTGGAACCAAGTCCAGGATCACAAGCCGGTCAGCTGCGGCAATCTCAATTCCGTCAGTCAAGCCGTCTAATGTTGTCTTGAAACACTCAACGCCTTTCCTTGGTTACAAGATGCCCGTAGTTTGTTTTTGGCGTGAGTTCTGCAGTGACATGTCTGCGTATAACGCGCGCGCAAAACAAATTTTGCAAAATGGTTGAAACATTTCAAGAAACTGTTCGACTCTTGCGCTCGCAGATGGTTTCGTGACCTCATCGAAGCCAATCATCTGCGCAATTGGGATGAGCGGTGCAGGTCCCACACGCGCAGCGCTGATAGCCGCCGATGACTGCCAGTCCGAACTCGAAGTGTAGCTCAAGTGCAGCGACATGAGGCAAAGCTGAGTCATAGAGCGACCGTCTGTGATTCTGGACTCTGGTTTCGTGAACAGAAGACTCACCTCATTTGCCAGAGTCAGTTTGAACTTCATCAGGAATTCTTCAATCTGCCTCCTGTGCTTCAAGACCGCAGGCTCTGTTGTCTGCTTTTGGTGGACTGGCATCATGATGAAACCCGCATGGGAAGAGCTCATTGAGCAAATGTTTCCCAAGCACTCAAAGGCTTTCCGGACATAGGTTGCGTTTGCCGGGTACACCGTCAAGTCTAGAGAGCACAACACGTACCTGAAGGCCCACAGGAGGTACCAGTTGGAAGAGTCATAAGCGGACATGTCTGAAACTCACTATCGTCATCGTTTGGCGCCCCCAGTTTTCAAAAGGTTAATTTCAACAACCGAGTCTCATCTTCCCGGCGATGCCACGCATGGAATCCAGAAATTCCATGAACTTGGGCAAGGCAACGTCCAGGTCTTCAGTGACAGTGTGCAAGATCAGGTTCTTTGCGCAAAAGTCGGTCACGTGAGCACGGCCCTTTGCCTGACGATCCCTCAAGTATTTCATGTCCAAAGCGGTCTCGGTGGCTGCCTCTCGAGGGCCTGGCAGGTTTTCCTGCAAGACTTTCATATCAGACTGGAACATCTCCGAGACCTGCTTGAAATTTACTCGGGCAACTTCCTTTCTCAGCTCAGCCTGTCGCTCTTCCTTCTCTGCCAATTGCCCTTGCTTGATCTTCTCCACATGGGCCCTGAAAGGCCACATTCAAAATTGAAGTTGACAGCTTGTCACCATAAATTGCAGTCAGTGGAGCTGTTTTCACAGGATCTCTTCAAAACAACACAGAGCAGCATAGGAATTGAAAACACTGCTTTGGAAACCGACTTCACTCCTGAAGGCTGCGACCGCTGACACATCAGTTGTGTTTGGGACCTTCTCTTCAATCACGTGAAGCAAATCCAGGTCAAGGAACTTGGATTGAAAGGTTGCGAGCAACTGGTCCTTCATGGCGGGGAACAACCCGGAAGGAGCTTGGCGCTGCAATTGATCCAAGAGCCATAGGAAGAGACCGCATGCTTGGTGAACCTTGACAGCATCCTTGAGAGACCATGCCTTGCGCATGGGCTCAGGCGTGTTGTCGTGGTCCGCCACAAGGCGCTGCAGGTAGAGGTCGACCTAACATAAAAATTCGTTGGCGCTGGATGGCAATTTTCCTCTTGGGTTGGCCAAGGACGGGGCCATGATGCAAG